AAGCATATGTCTATAGGACTTTTTTTCTTAGTTTTTTACTCCTCTACACGCTCCCGAAGTTTTGCCATTTAATTTGGAAACACCCTGTATATATATATAATATATATATTACACTTCTTTCTTTTGACAATTAAACTATGCATGTATTTTTTAAATTTCTATTAATAATGTAAAAAATATAAAATAAAAGGATTATAAGAAAAAGGTTTCTCTTTAAATATTTTCTATATATTTTTTAAAAGAGTGTACGTGCTTTCATAGATTTCACATAGTATTTTCACAAAATCGAATGTCTAAATCTTGTAAATCATGTTTCAAAAAGTGAGTAAGATGCATTTCGAACAGATCGTTTGTTGACGAGATTCACTATTCCGACAAGCTCATGGAAATTCGATACCATTGAAGGAAGATTACTGGTAATAAGCAGATGGTATAATATTCTTTCGCATCACTGAGAGTACAATGGGCTTGCGACGTCGTAGGATCCAGAAAGCAAACAGAATATGAATGGAGCCGACTTGCTGCATGAGTAGATCTTATCGCGATGAACTGTCAGGGGTGGATCACCGGATTGCTCTTATCCCAGCTTGCCCGAATGTTCATCCCCTTTGACACGCAACCCGAGCTTCCTCGATAACATAATAACGGTAAAGACAGCGCATGGTGATGCAACGATAACTATAGATAGACAACTAAAAAAGATCGGAGCTTCTTATACTTTAAAAGATTTACTATATACAATTTTTATTTTATACATGCTGCTTCCTTACTTCAAAGGTAATACAACTAAACAAAATTAAGTTTTTTAGAAAAGGAAAAAAATTATTACTTTACAGAAAATTATTGACTAATCAAATAATATTGACAAAAAGAATATACCTATTCTTACAACCCGATCAAATATCATTTTTATTATTTTTGTTTCACGAGTATTTAAAGAACCACTTTAAAAAGATTGGACGATTTTTTACGAAATTAACTATTATTAATCAATGAAAGTGAATTAATTTACTTTTAATGATCAATAGAGGATAATAATTGTTTACCTTATTTATAATAACTCGCGACAATTACGTTTTCGAGTTGTGTCATTTTTGAAGTAAGGGAGCGATATGTACATTGTAATATTATTTAATGAGTTTTTTAAGATTTAAAATAATAAATATCCGTTAATACTTTCCGTTAATATTTTTCTCTTTAAGAAATCTTCAAAAATGGATATACCTACATTTTTCTCTAATAAATATAGGTTTCTTGTAAAATTGCATGTTTTATTCTTTTTATAGATTCAAATTAGATCATGCTTGCATTATATTAGGTTTTATGTAAGAGCATATGTCAAAAAACTTAAGCTGACCGCAGCAAGTTGGCGTTATATCTCTTTGTTCAAGGTAAAGGTTAAAACAACCGAGGGATTAAGATTATCGCTTATCCAAAATGAAAGCTTCCATTATTTTTGTTAAGTATTGATGATATAACTATTATTATTCTATAATAACAGCAGTAATTGAATGATGTTATATACTTTAATTTAATAAATAATACTATTAAATAGTGTAATGGCAAAAACTTTTAATTTTATTTCACTCGCAGCTATCGTAAATTTGATAATACGGTACAGGAACTTAATTTCTATTTAATTTTTTATACACTTTTTATTACTTTTACTTTTTATTTTCTCTATTTTATTTCTCATTCTTTCAAGAGTTATAACTTGAAAGATTTTCAATAGAATTTAATTTTCTTACTTTTTTAATTTTTAATGATAGAGAAACCAAAATTACGCAGACTATACATATATTTCTATTAAAAATTTTTTTAAAGAATTTTTTATATATTTTTTTAAAATTTTATGTAAATTTCAAAATTTCTGTCTAACTTTATATAATTTTCTAGAAAAAATTTCCCAGATTTTTTATACAAATTGGAGCACTTCTCACAAGTGTTGTTGAAAAAGCCTAATAAATTTTGAAATGTCTAAGATTTCTAAGATTCCTATAATTTCTGAAGAAAACTTCTAAAATCTAAAAAAGTTTAATATTTTTTGAGAAATCTTAATAAATTTAAAATATGATGAATTTTTATAAAAGATATTATAAAAAATAATTATAAAATAATATGAGAAATTTTTTTACAAGAGCAATTACTATACAAACTTTTAGAAGATGTACAGTTTGTGTATGTTTTCTTTTGATAAATTATATACTAGCGAAATTAGCGCGTTATTGTAATAGCGTGTTAGTCGTGTGCAAGTGAAAATCGATACCCTTCTATGGGAAGCCAAAGAAACCAGTATTTGAAGAAAAACGATTTCGTATTGTACCCACGTTGTAACGTTTGCAATGCGGCACGCGCCACCCCTGCCACGTGCCAGCCAATCTAAATCTAATAACACAAACAGCCTTACAATACATGCATCATATACGCCCGCGTTTGGCGGCAGGATGTAATGGGACACCATGTGAACTAATCGCTCTGGAGTGGTCCTTCAGATCCTGTTTCGCTATTTGTTGATCCCGACCTGCTCTCTCTCTCTCTTTCCCTGGGATAAATAGGTTCCCAGCTGGGTTTGATGATCAACATATTATGCAGAATAATTTCTGTTCTTTCTTTCACAAAGAGATTCTTATCTTACGATACTGAATAATTATCTTCTAATATACATGATACTTATCGAGGAAATATAATATTATTATTATTTGTGCAATAATCATTAGAAAATTGTATTAATTTTAATAATAACGAAATTGTTAATAATAAGTAAATAATTTTATAACATACTATTGCTGTTTGCTACAATATTTCACTGATTTAAATATTGTGTATAGTTTCATTATTTAATTTAAATATTTAATTTTTCATAAAATTAAAAATATGTGTCATGATAATTTCTAGATGAAAAAAATTACTCATATAAATTCCCTAGTTTCAAAGAATGTAGACAATACAGTACGATATTTACGTGAGATTAAAATAAAATACTTACATTAGGCTGCACACAGCTGCTACTGTTAAAATTAAAGATGATATGGGCAAAGAATAAAACATGGAAATTTTTCTATCATCAAGACTTTTAATTCTCAAAAAGTAAGTTTAATTTATTTCAATATACACTGACGAGTGTGTCTATACGCGCGAGTGTGCGTACCGTGTCTTCGCGTGCGTACAAGAACAACGCGTCTCGTAAAAGATGACGTGACGTGATTGAACCAAGGTACAATCAATATACATATATATATTTATATATATATAATCAACATCACAAGATCACAGAGCGCTTGGCTCCGGGACGAAGAATGCACTTCCTAGAAGAAAAGTACATACCAAGTCTCTCGATATGCAAAAAGGAACTCTTCATAATAATAACTTTTAACGGTATTCGTTTTGACAAACGATACGATCTACGCTCGTAAAACTGCTGTAAAAGTTTGGACTAATTGGGAATTTCAATCCAGTATATGCTTCGTATACTTTCGTGAGTTGTATGAGATTTGTTTTGGGCCGGCTTATCAAACGATCCAAATCAACTATATATACTATATACGTTTTATACAGATCGCGTTCGGTCCAACTTTTTAACGTTTTTGACCTGATTTTGTTGCCAGATACTGGTCATTTATCTAGATTTGGCTTTAAAGCGAAGAATGGAACGGATTGCAACAAATTCAATTTCTCATCCACGAATGGAGACGTAAACTCGTGCATTCCTGATTGGGATCACGTTAAAAAATTGGATGGCACCAACGCAATTATACAGATGTGCTACGTACATCCTACGTTTATTTACACCTATGTATAATAATTTTCACTCTAGAGTGACAATGTCATTTCGTTGGATTCTTGGAAATAGTTTTCTTTTTGTACATCATAACAATATTTACAAATGTATTTTACAAATTACGTTACACATACGCTAACTAGAGGCGATATTGGTTAGTCATAAATTGTAGGGGTAGGAAGTTAAAATTTCGAAGTCGAAAATGCTCTCTAAAACTATGGTATCTGTTATTCATTAATAAGCGATATGTCCGTCGAGTGGTGTCAGTTTCTTTTTCGATCTTTATCAGCCTCTGTTTGAATGATATAAAATATTTGATACCATCTTAGCTTTCTCATTCGATTCATACAATTGGCTCTTAATTCGTTAAATTTATTTTGTTTAAAATACAAAATTAAAATTGATAAATGTTGCTTGTCAACAGTATCAAATACAGCAATCGTATCATTATTATATTAATAATAACAAGAAAAATATACCTTCTATAATTTATCATAATTATTTTCGGAGCAATTTTTACATCGATAAATCATAATTAACGAATTCAATTATACATGAAATAATAAAGAAATAATTTAACAAAAAATGCTGTAAATTGTAATCACATTCAAATTTATAACCATATGTTCTAATATTGCTACAAATTGATCAAAATTATTATTTATACAAAAATTTAATATAAAATATAAATTATATTACAACTATTATAACAAAAATAAAATAAAAAAAACATTGTTTCACAAGTATATTTTTTAATAATCATCTGAGCCATCTTTTGACCGAGCTGTTATATTTATAAAAAAAAAAAACACCTTCTCGTTGTTCGATATGTATCGTTTCTTAACTAATGCGATCATTGATGATCGTTGCAAGATAATTGTCTTAGATTTTTGCACTGATTTGCCTGATTTCATACGAAATTGTCGACTTTAACTCCGACGAAAATGATAATGCCGCATGCGGTCCTTTTTCCTTTTTATCACAAAAGGAGCAAAAGAGAAAGAGAACCGCAAGTAACTCGAATTCGCGAAGGCAATGTACATATGCGATATAACTATCCGATAGTATTTATGCAATCATCTGGATAATTATTCAGATGCGATCGCATATACTATTTCGCTCGTACAACATCTCCGCGTAGGTCATGGTTCATGACATTCTCATCGGAGCTTACATCTCGTAGCACTATTTGCCATTTGACGAAAGCAGCGGACTGGCAGCGGCTGAGTATCCTTGATTGCAGGTGGGCAACATAAATGGGTTCATGTTGAACGGTGATCCGACCACCTCTCCTAGTCCTGCAACATACCCACTGTCGATTATACATTAGTAGTGCATTATTGCTGTAATGACACAATCAATAAATGAGAAATAAATGACAAAAAGCATAATTTTATATTCATAATAATAAAATTATTTAAATAAAGAAAAGATTTATTTATTTTTTTTAAATAAAATCATTCACGAAAGAAGTGAAGAGAGAAATAATTGTTAATTCTCTATAAAACAATAAAAAATAATCGCAAAATATGTTAATTTTATTTCTTTTACAGGATTATTGTATATAAATCCATTTATTCGACGTTTTAATAATTCTGTTTAGTTAAAGCTTTTAATTCTTGAGTTAAGTATGTGATTGGCGGGGGATTCGTGAAGCTTTATGATAATCCGTGCGAATAAATACGGTAGGAGAGTGGATAATATATATGTTAAAGTTCCGCGGAATTCAAAAAATATGTGCAAGGAAATATACTAATCATTTTTCGATTGCTGCGTGATATACACGTACACGTATCATATTTGATATTAGCATTATAATTTTATTCTAAGAAAATTTTCTTGCTATAAAATACATATGTCACTTTTGCTAAAGAAATTGAAGCTACTAATTACAATATTGACCATTTATTGAGTTATAAAGAGCTTTGTAGCATGAAAAGATATTATGAAAAAAGCAATTTAAATTTAACTTGAAAAACGACAATTTTCTATAATTAGATTGAGATTACTATCGCGTCGTAAATAAGTGTACGTACATTCTCAAATGTCGTCTCTCATAATTCTTTAATCACAGTGCGAAGGGTGATGGTGGTGGTGATGATGGTGTTGGTGGTGATGGTGGACGGTTAGCGGTTACTGGGCGGCTGTGGCGAGGTGGTGCTGTGTGGGCCAGTGCGGTGGGACTGAGGTGGTCGGTGGTCGTACTACGGGGGCGAACGCACTCCCGTCCCCGGATGTATAGAATATGCCGTATTGTTCGTGCGCTAAAACGAAAATTCCACATAAAGGAAAATCATAAGTGCGTGCATCGAATGATAATATTAAATAGAAAAAAATGTCATGCGTGCTGGATATGTGAACGTATATAAGTGTTAGGTTTCTTCGTTTCAAGTTGTGCCGAAAATCAATGCTTTCAGCAAAACTGTTTAGATAAGACATTTTTTAATAGCAACCAAATATTTTGATTATATAACAACGAATTTAGTCATTTCTATAAAATGCCCTTTTTTGCTTTGTAACAAAAATATTTATTTATACTAATTAAATAACTTAGTTTATACAAAACTGCACTTTTGTATATTTTAACTAAATATTTGTTGTAACAGCAAAATGTTGATTGATGAAACATTTTTCCAGTGTATACAGTATATTATGTATTTTAATAACGTTTAAAAGCGTATATAAGTATAACAAAGATAATAATTTTACGAATGTTGAATCTTAGCACTAAATTGCATTATTGAACATTCATAGCATTTTCTTTATCGCATTGCAATTTAATTTACATTATTATCATTTTAATCGATTTTATACGATTATTCGAATTGTAAAAGTCGTCTAATGTAAGAAGTTGTATTTCATCCCGGCACAATTTGGATTTTGCGGATATTGCAGCGACACTGTACAGACGTGGGATCGTCTGCAGGGGTAGAGAAAGAGAGAAGGAGGAGACTTACGTGAGGTGTAGAGAGTTGGGCTGCCGGTATACGGATTGGCGACAGAATAACTTCCGTTAGTACTGTGACTGTGTGGTGTGCTGGCTGAACTACCGCAATAACCACCGCCGGTTACGACACCACGTGGACTTGCGCTGCTGCTTTGTCTATAGGCATCGGCGCTACCGACGTTGGTTCCGACGCTACCACCGCTGCCACCACCGCCGCCGCCGCCTCCACCGTCAGCAGCAGCTCCTGTCGTCACGGAACTACCGTCTAGAAATAGAAACCTGCCCGTCAGACGAACTCGTCAGTATTTCAAGTCGTGAGTGGTTGCCTAATAAATTTAACTCAGGGAGCATCTGCGTCTTGATTGGTACGAGTCTCTATGGAGAAGAGATCGTAAGGTATTTTACTATTATAAATTGTATAATAAATATATATATTATTTAATATGAAAATAGTACGATTGTTTTCAAAGGATATTTTAAAAAAGTATTGTCGATTGAAACATGTACATACCATCCGTCCATTTTGCTGCGCTACCATTTTCTTGCACAGTCACTGCAAGTTGCCCCGTGTACGAATTAAAGGCTGTTGCTGAACTGGATGTGGGGGGTGCGGGTGCATGCACCGAACCTGGACTTCTGGGTGCTCCCGCAATCCCCATGTTTCCGCTCTTGGGCATACTATAAATGGCTTCCGCTAGATCCGCCGCCCTCTTCAGTACTATCTCCTTCGGAAGCTTTTCAGGGTCACCGGGGTGCCGCGGAACAAGTTTCTGTAACCTTTGGAAGCCGTAGTCGATCGTAGGTTCGTTTACCGCTGAAAAATTCAGCAAAAGTTCGTTTGCTGTTATTGCGTGATCGGGCAGTATCGTAATCTTTCCATGACAATTATTATTCGTGTAGATTTTTTGCAAAAAGCAAGTATCTGGCCTTTTTATTTGTACTTACAAACATAGACAAATCTACCAGGCGCTCCTTTACAGAATTGCTTGCTTTTGTAATGTAACGTAACGTCAACGACTCCAGGTATTTGTCGCGCCGGTGCCTGCACCTTGATCGCGTGTGGAGTGATAAACTGTAATAAAAACAACAAATATAATTTTTATATTTACCATAGTAAAATTAGACATATTCAGTCAACAATTAACATTATTGTGTACGACAGAATTATTGTAAATTACTGACCTCGCTCCAAACTAGCATTGATCCAAAAACTACTTGCAATCCGTCAAAGAAATTTTCTCCAATGATTATGACGGTAGATCCACCCGATGTCCAACCTTCATTAGGCGATATCGCTTTTATGCACGGTGTTTGGAGAGGTATTGGCGGATATAAACCTAAATTCATAACATAAAAATACTACTATATTTTCAACATTTAATTTTATTGTATTTAGTTAGATTCATAATTTGTATGAAATGCGTGGCGCTAAAATTTCTTTAAGACATAATTACGTTGAGTATTAACGATCTTAAAATATATATTAACGATCAATCCTCTCATATTAAAAAAAATTAAGAATAAAAAAATAAAAAATTATAAGTTGAGAATTAGATAAAATCAAGTAGTATTCTTGAAAACAACTTGCGACTGACGAGAGAGAAGAAATAGGATATGGAAAATTATCTGAATATTCTGTTTATTCGGTTGAGGCCGAGTGGCAGATATATTTTCCGGTGTGGCAGGCAAGTTTTCGAGGTCGTGAGACTCGTGAAAGTGAGAAAGAGGCGGAAAATGAAAGAGAAACTATGAAGGAGAACGGCAGAAAGAGAATGATGCGATGAGAGAAAGAGAGAGTACGAGGAAGAGGGTTGGAGAGCTCGGAGAAGGGTTGTAACAAGAAGGAAAGGGAGGGGGCGATCGGGCCGACGGTGTCTCTGCTTGGAATTTATAACCCAATGATATCATTTTGTACCCCGGCGAAGCCAAGCCACCCCCGGCACCGACCCTGGGCGAAGCGGAGCCACGGCAGAGTGGCTGACATCATGGTATATTGCTCTCAGTGATGCTCAAACACTTTCCACTTCGAGTGCTTATGTGCCGTCACATCGATAAATCTCGGCAGTTTGAAAGATCGCAACATTGTGTATATCTGGACGTATTTAAAAATATTTTTTTAAATAATATTAATGGCTATATTTCTTTACAGTTAACGGTTAACTATTTTTGGTTTCATAGACTAATAATAAAATAACTATTGCATTACGTGAAATCAATGAGATACTTCGAATATAAATTTCATAATGAAACTTCTGTAATAAAATTGTACTACGTATAATAATCAGAAAGAGTGCACCGTGTACAATTTTATTCATCGGATAAAAAATAAAGTCAACAAGTGACAATCACAACAGGAGCGTTAAAGAGTTGCAAGTATGGTCCCTACGCAAATGGGTATTCCTCAATGGGACATTGGTATTTATTGCGTTCAATGTACGAGAAAGTCGTTAAAGAGACCGGCCGTGTTGGCAACCATCCTGGTAGAGAATTGTCGAGCGGCGCGGTGTGGGCCGCCGTGAGGGTGGAGAGAGAGAGAGAGAGAGAGAGAGAGAGAGAGAGAAGTTGAAAAGAGGGATTCAGTAGAGGAGGCCAAGGAACAAGCGTACCAACCCGGAATAAATAAAATCCTCCGCGCCACTGAATGGTAAGGGGTGTTACTCCCAACCCTCTCGCGCCCCTCTTTTGCCACCGAACTATCGTCGAAGTCGAAGAGCCGTTGTACTCCGACACGTTCGGCCCGATTCTCTTTGATCACTGTGAGATCGCGCGATAACTTCATTCGCCGTGGTAAAGACTCGAGAAATTTATCAGATAAATCGGGTTTTATCTCGGCGTAAGCATATAATGATGTTGCATAATCGTATCACTTATATTTAGTCGGAACCGCGAACACTCTTCAATATCGTTTCATCGAATTCCGATGATTAAATTTTTAACTTATTACTTTTTAATATGGTATAAACAGAAACAGTATCTCATATTTTCCGTTACACGAAATGAGTTTGAAGTTTCTACAAAATTTACAATCGTCTGTCTCTCGTGTCATAAATTAAATTTAAAAAAGAAGGTAAAAGCCCATAAAGCATAAAATGAAATTAGCAACGATGTTTTGTCAAATAGGAAATGCGTTGTAAAACGACGTGTCGGAGAAGATAGATTGTAAGCAAGCGTTTCAAATTTCATGGACAATCAAGATTTGATTTGTATAGCAACTGGGAGAATTCGTTCACAATGACAGCAAAATCCACGAGATACCGGCGTTCTACGTTCTTCCCCTTTCTCTCGCATTTCCTGTCTCATTGGTATGCTCGTTTCGGCGTTTCGGGGGATAGCTCGCGGGGGGGATTTCGAAAGAGTGGATGTGTTGGTACCTTCATTGGCGTCGCAGAGACTCCAGGAGGGCGGCGCGAGATAGCTTAAACTTAGCATTCACAAACCAACGCACCGCGGCAACCACGAGGTGAAGGAGAGCGCGAGAACGACAGAGGAGGAAACTGAATGAGAGAAGCAGAGATCGAGATGAGAGAAGCGGGCCAATTCCACTCTCTTTCTTTCTATGTCTTTGCGCTCCGCAGCCAACCAGGTAAAAAGAAGAAACTGATGTGGTGGCGGGTGGAGACGAGAACCTTGGAATCCGTGGTGAGAAGAAGGGGGACAGGCACTCGGGCGAAATTCGAGCGAGCAGAGTGGAGGAAAATAAGACGGAGGAACAAGGAGCGCGGAACGAAGCGTGGATCCTTCGTTTCCCCGCATCCCATTGATTTACATCTTGTCTTGGCATAGGTAGGAAGAAAAGACGAAGGAAGAAGCCTGCGCGAGAGGAGCGAGCAGTCGAGGGGGTGGCCGCGCGATATCAGCCGTTTGTATGCGCGGCCGACGCCAAACTTTGCTGAATTGCCCTATGACTCCATATATCCCATTCTACCGGTGCGCCCTCCTGCAACCCTCTTACGATTCCGCTGCGCCACGGCTCCCGAGTCGTTATGCCGATCTCGAAGAAAACTGACCCCATCCCTCGCTGGAAGGGTGCCGCACGAGAGAAACAACACGCCGCGAGCATTCGAATAGCAATGCCTCGAACGTGAATAGCTCGGAAAGTCGATTTTGATCGACAAGCGTTGAAAGCTTACGGCGTGTGAATCATATCATCCGTGAAAAATCGATGCGTTGAATAAATGAGGGCGTTTAATGTGCGCACCGGGCTTTTTAATTATCGTCCGTTAATTAATTATCATATTTTCTGCGAGTGCTTTGTTAGCACGGCGAAGGCTGACTGCAATTATTATTGGGGAATATAGCAACTGAGTGCAAAATTAAATAACGAAAAACTGAACGGCGGGCCAATTGGTGTTTACGAACAAATCGAATTATCGTGTAAATGCTCATGCAGTTTCGCGATTAAATATGCAGACGATATCGATGCTCTGTTCCGCATAAATTATCTCTTTAATACTGATTAATTGATACTATTTATGAATCATATACTTACTATTGTACTCACTAGGATCACTGGGGTCCAAACGTTTCGCCCTGCGTCCGTGCTTACTGTTATTATGGACGAACATATTGTCCGAGACCGCTAGTAATGGTCCTTCCACTCCCACTTGCGTAGATATGACCACCTGTTAGGCAAAATGGAAATTTGCTGATATGAAAAATGATATAAGACAGGTACTCTCTAAAATTTTTGGAGTGGAGTTTAACTCTAAAGAATAAAATCTCATTCTTAAAAATTGACGATTAAGCCACTATTTGTCAACCTTGGATCAATTATCAACTCTTTGTCACTCTTTAGAATTAGATTTCATTTCAAAGATTTTAAAGAATACCTAATGTTAAAAATAAGACAATTAGAAATGTAATAAATAACGTAATGAACTAATAATAAAGAAATTATTCTTTATCTCATTTATGTATCAAACAAAATTTTATATTATTATTATACATTTGAAAACATGAATATTATAATATTTTCAGGAATTTTATTAAACGATGGGTTTCAAAGTATTTGAGAAACATGAAGGTCTATAACGCGGTATAATTCAACAAATGTTGGAAATTAATAATTTAAAATATTATGTACCTTCGTAAAATTTACGTTTATATCTGTTTATGATTGATTTAACAGAACGAACGTAGAAAAGTACGCAAAAGATGCTACTGTGAATAATATTGCATTTCTCTCGTTCATGCGCGTCATACACCGAGCCAAGTTCATCATGTCTTCTGTGAACGAGCATGCACAACTCGATTTGTTGCACTAGATACTACGGCATGCAATTCGTGACTTGCACATATGACGTTTGACAACGTTATAATTGCGTAAGTACAGGAATAGTCATATTAAAACACACGATTAACTTTCCTTATAGTTAACATAAAATATTTACACATAAATTATTTACGAGATTTTTAATAAGCTGAACAAAATTACTTGCTAAAGTATTTACGTCGTTCATCGCACATGCTTCAGGGCGTTGAAAAGATTTTTCGCGGTAAAGCAGGAAGAACGTTTATAAAATCGAGCGAGCGGCTGGAAAATGCCCGAAAGTTTTGTCCTTCGCAACTTTGCAACTTTCTCGCGTGCTGGTGATATTACTCGGCGAGTAACACCACCGCCAACTCAGAGTAAAACGACGATAACCTACACTGCCCCATGGCGGGAGAGATTTTGACTGTACTAAAATTTTAATTCGCAACTTTCGGCAGTAAGCAATTCAGAAACAAATTCAAAAGTACGATGAGTATTCTAATTCCATTTGTCGTTGTGCCGACGCACAAAAAGAAGAAAACTAAAAGAGTCGAATAATACGAAAAGAGATGATTCACGTAAAGGACGAACTGCTGAGGTCTTTGACCATGACTTGCATGGCAATTGTATTGATTTCCTATTCATTTTTTGACAGTCATTTTTTAAATAAATATAAGCTTTTTCATTTTTCTTGTATACTTTTGAATGCATTTATGTACTTGGTATACCTGTTTTACTTTGTAGGGTTGATTAATTATTTTTTAATTTTGTTTTAGCAGTATAGAATGGAAAGGGTACAATAGTATAGAGTTTTTGTAAGCAAGACTGGTTGTTGTAAAGGATAAGAGGTGAATGAATGTGGAGGTGAATGCAAGAATTATGCTTTGAGAATTAATTGTGGCAACTTTTAAATTATATCTGTTTGATGAAAATTTTGGCCGATTGTCAAGAAGTCGTCTAATCAGACTTATCGTTTTTATTCGTTTATAGAAATAATTTTATTGATTTTTAATCAAATATACGGAATAATAATAATAGAGTTCTACAAATTTACGGAAATTTTACGCGAAGAACAATGCTCTCTACGACGGTAGGCGTCATGCGATGTTGCGGCGGAATTTCGGCATTCTCGTCTCCGTCTGTCCGCCCCTATAATTTCGCGAATCGTGACTTGAATGATAGAAGTGTCTCGCGTAGTGTGTATTTCAGCATTGCGACACGACCTGGAACGTCTTCGAATCAAGTGAGTGGAAAGCCGAAAGCGATTAACTGTACTTCAAATAGAGCCGTAAATCGAGCTATGTGAATCAGATAAATGACATTATGAAAATGAGATTGTTTTTGTATATATGAACGAATCCATAAATTCTGATTAATATGGGTATATCCGTTTTTTTTTTATAAATATTTTAAATTCTAAAAATTTGACAAAAATTCTTAATGTATAATATATAAACAAAATTAACTCCATTAAACATTAATCGTGCAAATTTATATTTACGGTTGATAAACAGAGCGAGCACGGATAACTTACCTGGAAGCGTCTCATGTCACGTGGATTGCCAGCGTTCTTGAGGCAGTTTTGGTTACACTTGAGAAAGAACTTGAGGAAGAATCTGCAAGTACAGAGGGGACCAGAGTTAAACGGTTGACAAGGTGCTTAACGCTCTTCAACGCCGGCAACTTAATTAGAACGCGAACTTGGCTGGAAAGCAAGGCTGAATATTGTATAAGCCAATCGCGAGTCCCGTTCCACTCTCCTCTATTATTCAGCATTTCTCTAGATTAAACTCCCGACTACGTGTTTCTCGACCTGTAGGCCCGCGCGGCATTGTGTACTGCACGAAATATGCGGCTACTTTATTGTCCTACTGCAATGTCAAAGGACATTCCCGTAATACATTTTTACAATGAAAAGATACCATCACGATAAGCAATAAGTTTTCTCTTCTATATCATATTTTATAATTATTTTTGTAAACATATCTAAAATGTAATATAAAAAAATCGTTTACTTCTTGAAAATATTAAATACAAAGTAACATTTTAATATATTATATTAAAGTACAATTACTGAGAGAAATTTATACATATACTTTTGATCATTAATTTAAAAAAATAACATTAATAAGCACAAAATAATAATATACATGTTAAGTACTTATAAGTACCTGTAGGAGTCATGTAAGATAAGATTTTGAGATACAAAGATATATGTACATATACTGCATACATGCGGGAATTCTACCAAAAAGCCTCAGGCTCAATTTTCATGAATTATGCAAAACGCCGACAATATTGAATTTTAGAAATTTTTTTGAGTCGCATCTCACCTATTGGGTCGTGTCTAGAGAGGTGGAAAAAGTTGACTGAAGGCACAAGGAGAGTTTAGAGATCAGGATGCTGAATGCCAGACTGAGGAGGATCGAGAAAGCGAAGGAAACGCGTAGGAAACAATCAGAAGGACCGAGACGACGCGACGCCAATAACGACGCTGGCAAGGAGGGGTAGTTTTCTACGTAGCTGGTAGGCTTTTTATCCCATGGGACGCCATTGTCATTCCCTCCGAAGAGTGCGTCCATAGTACTAGGGACTTCATGGAAAAATCAAATGCATACCTTAAAATAACGCCTTTTTGTTTACAATTCTCTCACGCAGAGATTGTCAAAATTGCGGAAAGATCATACTTCTTATAATCAAGTAAAGATTTTTTAATTATCCTCTAATTTAATTTTCGTGTCAAATGCGTATCTGAGGTGATTTAAACATAAAAGAAAACATCGAATAATTTCTTCAAAAGCATTAAAGAAGATCTTAGTCACACATAACTTATAAAATTTTTAATTGAGATTATATTTGTATTTTATTTATCCATGATCGCCGAAAGTATTTAATCCACTTGCTAAAAATACATAAAACTTGAAAATGTGCAAGATAAAAACGAAACGCATTCATCGTAAGGGCGCAAAAGAGAATGTTGGAGTGAAGCAAAGGACGAAGGGCGAGACGACGTATGGGAGGGTGGGAAATTCAGCGATACGGAAAGAGAAAGGGAAAGAAACGTATCGATCTTGTGTTACACGCGTTTTCACATCCAGTCGTGGAACTTAGGCAGGTAGATGGTAGATTCGCGCGTGAGAGTTCAGTCTAATGTCGCGCGTGTTTCTGCGCGCTCGCGGAGAGTCGAGCGAATTTAATTTCGTTTACTCTTAGAGAACGTTAAGATGTTATCGTGATGCTGGATGGGTATTCAAAGCATTGTACCTTAGCTTATCGTGGCCGTGGATCTTGCTCTAAACACGATATCTTCGTCGCGCCTGAGGCGTCGCTCGACAACGCTGCCTCTAGTCGTTTACAGATAGGAATACCATCGACCGTACTTGCACCTACGATATTGCGAGAATAGCGCGAAGACGCCCCTTTAACGACGCCGACGACAACGAAAACGAGTCGGTAACCACCCTCGGATCGAGAACGTTTCACTTTGTATCTATATTGAAATCGTGTGTCACCGTTATTTAATAAAATGCGCAGACGGCTGAATATCTACATCACGTTTACTCCGATCATTCGATATAGATAATGTATATTCAAACTATTCAAATATATCTTACAAATTTGAAAGCATTTATATGTCGTTCTTTTACTTTAAAAGTGACATAACTATAAAAAAGTTAAATTTTTCAGAGAAGAGGAAATACTTTTTTAACTTGACAAAAAAATTAGTGTTAATAAAATAAATATCGGCAAAAAAATATATTCTTAACATGATCACAATTGTCATTTTGTATTATTTTGTTTCACAACCCTTAAAAAAACTACGCTTTTTGAGTGACAATTTTAACGATTATGTTTGAAAAACCATCATTTTTAAGTTGTGATGTTTTGACAATTTTTTTAAGTTAGGTAACTTTTAATGATTATTAGGATAATGTTTATATGATTCATCTATGGTAATAATAAAAAAATCATATTTTTTAATTGTGTCATTTTTTAAATAAAAGAGCGATACCTGCTAATCAAATGCAAGCCGTAAAGAAATAAAGTTGAAAGAGAAGAGAGAGGGGATGTACTTAAGAAAGTTTAACGCGATAAAAAGAAATTATATATTTGAATGAAAAGCCTGAAGTAATTGAAATATTCCGATCAGCGTTTCGCGCTCGCCGCTTCCAGCAAAGAAATCGGGCGATCCGCTTTCAGAATTTGACGCTAACAAAATGACCCTACTTACGCGAAAGAGTTCTATGAAGAGGGAGGAAGGACGTGCGCTTGCCAGGATCGGCAAAGGAAAGATAGGTAGGCTATAGATCTTCGCTTTTTTATATGGGATTCGTTCATCGGCAACACTAATCATTTACGACGCTCCCGTCGCGCCATCGCCATGGCACTTTATTTCTCTTTCTTTTTCCCTTACATGAGATCGTTTCCTTCTGCGCGTCCTCGAAGTATTGGCTGTTAGGGGCTAATGGATTGCGTTACCGACTGATTCAAATGCGAACTGGATTTCATTCCGGGCTCGATGGGGCGGCAGTATCGATGGTGTCGTAACGCGAACGCGTGCAAGAAGAAGGGCTAGTTTCTTACAGGGGATCAAATTCGATTCCGATAGTCTATTAGATTTTTCTCTTTCGTTGGCGGCCTTCGCGAACTCCTGTCAGCCTCAAAAAAATCTATTCCGAATCGCCGCTCAGGACACGCAATACCTATACACTTTACACCATGGAAACATTAGTGCAAGGTATCTGCCTTACATTTTAAATTATAAAATACTTTTGCATATATAAGTTTTTCATTATATAATCATAGATATATGTAAAATGAATGTATTATCTATCTATATATTATATATATACATATAGGGGAAAGTTGTCAAATGCCTAACCACTTAACCTATTTTTTATTATATTTTCTATTTGGCACTGTTTTGTATGCAAATGAACATTAGAAATTGTAGCTTGAGGTTTTGGACGCTTATTATTA